TGCCAGTATACCAACACTGCTCAGAAATTTTAATAATATAGTATCGATGAATACAGGTACAACCCTAGATAATCTGAAGAAACTCATAAGTTAACAGGTAGCGGAGCCTATAGACCCTATCATATATCAAGCGGTGGACATATTTCCCCTGTCACTGCACGGTTTGCATGGAAAACTTTACTCATGTTGAGACGAGCGCTTGTTCACTGAGTTATTGCTTTTCTAGGCTTTGAATATACGTTACATAAATCTTTACAATAACAGATAGAAGACAATAACATTATATTTTTACTCTTTAGTCTCAGATACTAAGTTATAATATAGACTTGTAGGAATCAAAACGTGCGCAGATGCGACACATATGTAATAAGATTATAAATATAATTTTAATGAAATTAGTTAATTACCGGTGGAAACCAATAGGATTTCCTTGAAAAACAATGAATGTGTTATGAATAATATAATAAATTACGTGTTACGTTGATAAATTAATAAATGATATTTCCTTACTATTTTTCACTTCCGCTCCTAGCGTAGTTAAGAGAGTTCAATTTTCTACAAGATTGTTTTAAATCGCTAAATTACAGCCTATTTAATAAAAACTCAGAAATATTCCTGCCACATAACTTTCGGGTGTTTGAAGAACAACACATTTATAATTTATATATTAATAAGTATACAACTACCCTAACAGAGTACCCAATTCGATAGACTTGTATTTGATTTGAGCCTACTGGAATTGATATTAAATGAAGAAACATTTTACACAGGTGAGACTCTAGCCGTTTGCCCCCTGTTTATAACAATACAATATTTTACTTAATTGAAACATATCAAAAAAACAATTAAAATTAAATTCCTCATACATAGTTTATTTACCATCCATTTATCGTAACATGTAACAACTGCTTAATACCACAATAATAAACCTGTACTAGTAAGAAACCAATTTTCTCCTTAAATTATGACAATAGGTTTCATAAGCGAAAATTTCTCTAAAATATATCAATGTAAACGATGAGCAAATGTTTAGAATGTTAGTAAGCTCCTGCATTATCGATCGCAGTTTCTCACGTCTCAAGGCTCTGTCTATAAAAGTTAAGTGCAGCTTCCCCTCTCGTAATCTCCCAATGTTTCGTGAGGTATTAAGAATTTACCGACGTCCTGGGACGTCCATCGATTTGTCTTAGAGGCTGTGATTCACAAGATTTCGTAACCTTCAACGGGAGTGATTAATGTGTAAAATATCTTAACTAAAATTATTGTCATATTCGTGTCTTGATTACGCCCAATAATATACACGTTACTATCATACTTCTAATAATAATATCATAAGTATTAACGCCCGAATTTGTATTATAGATAACAAACACCTATTGGCGCTACAACCAGCCTAATCGGTCTCAGATTTATATATCAGTATCGTTATCATTTGTTTTTTCTAATAGACAAGTATCTGATCAGCCTGAGACACGCCCTTTGAGTCTAAGGCATGCTGATTTCCACACGATGTTTTCCTTCGCCATACGAGCAAGTGGTAAATGCGCACATAGACTGAAAGTTGATTGGTGCACATCCGGGGTTCGAACCTAAGACCTCAGAGTGAGAATAGCACGCTGAAGCCTACACTAATCACTAACAAACAGGTTTAAAATTCACTTAATTTTTTTTGACTAGCATTTTTTAACATATAAATCGGACATAAATTGTACACCGATTGGTATATAACATACAACATATGTACAACGCCTAATAAGGCAGTGCTTATTAAGGTTACGCTATTGCTTAACATTAAAATGCATATTTTATACCTCTGTTCGCTCAACAAACAAATATAAATTACCATGAAACCCTTCAATTGAATTTAACTCCCAGATTGCTAGTCTAACATAACTTTGATGAACTACGGAACATCGATTTCCAGTCAAAGCAGTCCCCATTTAAATTCAGTTATGAAGAAGTTCCATTTCACCATTAATTATCCTGTGTTACATTAATCGCATTGAAGGGTACGTTCCATGCAGTAACTAAGCCGATTACAATATTCGACTGCGAAGCCCTAACAAACGCCCCGTTCACTTGTTAGCGACTAGATCTAAGTTTGTCTTGTTATAACTCAGACTAGACTTAAATACAGCGCAGGAAGACTTTCGAACATTTTATCGGAGCTTATGTATAATAATGCACATTATTTACAGTTGTAGGTTTCATATTAAAGGCTGGGTCTGCCAAGGTTTTAGTTATTACTGTAATAACTTATTAGATACTTGTGGGTAGAATATATTGAATGCGTCTAAATTTAGATTTCTTGCCACTTCAAAAAATAAAAGCGTAATATGGACGAGAAGAACTAGCAAGAGACCACATTATTTTCCATCTAGTTGCTTTGCGTAAACAGAGCCTTTATTAGGTACACAATACAAAATGCGATCGTTTTATGTCCAGCTGGAGGTAGCCTCTATTAGAAATGTACATATATGTAATGTCAGGATACTGAAGCTTACTACACAATAAAAAAAAACTGTACTATTATATAAGGCTTTTGAACTTATGAGTTCTGCATAAAATGTATTCTCAAAGATTATTCATCCCTTATCTTATCTTAACAATAAGATCCCATTCTTTTTTCAAAGAATTAAAGCTAGTCCTGAAAATTAAATTGGTTTTAAATATAGCAACAATAAATATAAAGATCTTTATGGAAGAAATATTGTCGGCCATACAATATATAATCTAATATATAAAATTCTCGTGTCGCGGTGTTTGTATTTAAACTCCTCCGAAACGGCTTGACCGATTCTCATGAAAATTTGTGTGCATATTGGGTATAACTGAGAATCGGACAACATCTATTTTTTATTCCCGTAAATGTTAAGGGTAGTCCACCCCTAAATTATTTATTTTTATTTTTTAAATGAATATTTTTTTTAATGATACAGCATTAAAAATACATACAACCCCTAATTGTCACCCCTCTACGATCAACCCCTATTTTTTATTATAAATGATAAACATGGCAAAACGACGTTTAACAGATCAGCTAGTCTAATATATAAAATTCTCGTGTCGCGTGTTTGTAGTTAAACTCCTCCGAAACGGCTTGACCGATTCTCATGAAAATTTGTGTGCATATTGGGTATGTCTGAGAATCGGACAACATCTATTTTTCAATCCCTTAAATATTAAGGGTAGTCCACCCCTAAATTATTATTTTTTAATGTTTAGATGAATCTTTTTTTTATGATACAGCATTAAAAATACATACAACCCCTAATTTTCACCCCTCTACGATCAAAACCTATTTTTTATTATAAATGATATACATGGCAATACGACGTTTGCCAGGTCAGCTAGTAAAATATAAACTCACAGTAACTAGAATATTCAGTACAATTTTGAAAATAAACACTATTAACACTGAAAATAATGTGGGAATTTATTACACAGTTCCCACAGGGTGATTTACAAAAATTAAGTTAATCCCGCAACCCGCGTCATTCTCCATTTGATTTGCTTAACAAGATTAGAAAGGCGAAAAATGTCAGACAATGCTCGAATTAACACTGAATACGAATTTGAACAATATTTCTTGACATATTTACATCGTTTGAAATGGGGAATATGTGTTGGGAATTAATATAATTATTTTTATTAATGTTTTCGATTTCGGTCTGTAAGACACGTAGTGTTTGGTTATATTTAAATGGTTCTCGCATACGTCAAAGACAAGATTATGTTTAAGTTTAAAAAATTAATACTCACAAAGCTATATAATATGCAATAAACAATAATACTTATACTATGTGCGCTGTAGCATGGTGACAGCTTAATTTTTCATTCAATTTGATTTTATTTGTAGACTAGAACTTTCTGGCTATTATAATTTAAGTTACCAAAGTTATTAGTGATTTAATATATTACGAATGTGGTACAGCTGAAATAATAAGTCATCATTTGTAAATCAGCAACTTAAAAGAGTGAAACGAAACGTTACTGAAACTGGCACCAGCACCTACAGCGCACATACTGTAATGCTGTATATTTGGGGTACGAAAACTTAGTATAACTACTAGTAGCAGCTAGTTGTACTACAGCTACTACTAGCGACTATGAGGGCTACAAAACTACTGACAATATTTTTAATAAATATTAATACCGACGCGCCATTAAACTGTGTATTAAAGTCTAATAATATCGTTGTTAATTTAGTTAAACTTTTGTTAGGATTTCATTAAGATAATAATATTAATACAATTTTTTTTGCAAATACAGATTTTTTTTATTGCTTGCCATTGCGAAAGAAGAATGGCAGTTTTACACATTAGCCTCTTCTCTCTAGCGCCAATATTGCGATACTGAATGTTAAAGCACTTTCTGATATACAATATTTTTTGATGAGGTAAAACATGTCATCGATCAAGATCAAAGTCTGGTTATGCATCTCCTCATTCACCCCAAGATCGGAATTTCTTGAACTGACACGAATTCGACATAAAATGATGCGTAGTTTTGTCAACGGATGTCACCACATGCTGTTTGTATTCGTAAAATTAATTTACTTATTTATTGTTATTCGATAACTTATCCGATATTTTATTACTTATTCTGCTATTCGGAGCGGCGAAATCCACCAAAAAAGAGATAACTAACATCAGTCTACCCGATCTTGAGTTATAAGTGGTGTAACTAACACGACTTTGTTTTATATTTTTAGATTTGTTACATACAGCCTTTGGCTATATAGGAAATTCGACGCAATAATTAAAAACAGCGTTGGAAAATGCAAATACACATGTGATTAAATGACTGTTAAATATGTGGAAGAATCGTTTGATGGTTTAAATTGAAGTCCCCAGCGGCTACGTACCTCTCTGTAAATAATCCAAAAATAACGAGCTAGCAATTAAATACAGCTTTGAGACAAACATTAGTAGGATCGGGCGTGATCAAAGGCAGCATGTGATCAGTGTTTAAGAGTAGGTATGTTTGAAAAAATCGTGTTATACGCTACGAGACCCGATCCACTCGTCACTAATTTTGAATCCTGTGTTATTCAATCGCTGGCTTGTTTCTAACAATGAAGTCGCATATTGTGCCATAGAATCACAATTTTCACGACGAATTGATATGAGGTTACGAAGTAGTCCGATGCGTCGCGTGAAGCCATTATCATCAAATAGCTTTTTTAGCTTCTGCCATAGTCCCATTGCAGTTGACTCACTTTTTATATGCACGAATAAACTGGAATCTATAGTTAACACTATTTTTTCTTTCGCTTTCGCGTCATTCGGATCATCTCCGGTCGTGATACATTGTTGCACGCCTTCCAACACGAGATAGTTTTCCACAGCAAACGCCCAATCTTCCTAATTTTCTCTGCCCCTTAACTTTGCAATACTAGCAATAAGGTTTGTCGACATTTTTGCACTGTTTCCACCAAAAAAAAATTGTTTTTAATTCACGTGATAGCCCATAACCTGTAAATAATACGCACAGAGGTCGGGTAACAACTGACTACTTTATTGTAAATAATATTAGCACATAGTAGCTAGTAGGTATATGACGTTTTGTTATACATTTCAACAGAAATCAATTTTAGTTCAAGTAAATTGGTTTGGTCTTACTTGGTTTAAGTTTTCGTGATTCGTCATATTTGAATTGCGAACGTCAAGTACAATAATAATATATTATTAATTGTAATAATAATACAATTTTATACCCTGTGTATAAATATTCGGAATTCACACGTTTTATTGGGTTCGATCCTTAATAGGCGTCACTTGTAAAGGTGATTAAACATATCATTTTTGATGCAGAAAAGGCCGTGAGATTATATAGACTTAATATTAGGCCCGTTTCTACAGCTCATTCTAACTAAAAATTCTCTCCGCAAACAAAAGATACCTAATTATTCTTTCGATATTGCCCCCAGGGCCTCCAGGACCACGATACTAGTGGTCTAAGCCACGGCGGTGGAAACGTTGTTTAGTAAATGAGTGTTATAAATAGTTTTTGTTTTTGTTGTAATATGTGTTATATGCATGTTACAACATATTACAACAAAAACTGTGTGTACATTAGCAATTCCTTAAAATAGTGAAAAACCACAGATATATATATATATATAATCGTTATAGCTTTGTAATGTTGTTAAATCTGTTAATTGCTTAGTGGCATTCGGCTCTAAGCGAATTTCGGTTCAAAGGCAGCAGTGTGAATGGGCTGCTAACGTTTTTTGTGGACTGACCGAATCCATGTTTGCACTCAATCCACTTTTGTTTGGGACTTCACTTTAGGTTTCATTGTATTAAGTTGAGTATCTCGAAATTATAATATGCATTATCAATAGTTGTGATTATAAACGGTATGTGTGTGCTATTTTCTTTTTATTGATATTCTCATAGATATTAAATTTCTATATTAAAATATATTTGTCACGATTGAGACGACAGTTATACCAATGAATGGATTTAAGCAATTTAAGGGCGATGGTAAATATTATATAACAAAACAGTTCTTAAACAAGTTTAGGAATAAAATGAGATATGGAAGATTGACGATATTTTATAGTCAAACAGCAAACTTTCGACCCGACACTTCGCTGATGTGTTTTAACTTTTATCTTATTTTTACTAAAATAACTTTACGTGTACATTTTTAATGCAAAGCAAGGTAGGTCAACAAATGATATATATATATATATATATATATATACCTACCTTATATATATAAATATAAGGCAAGGTGTTGGAAATGTCCAATAAAGAGATGCGTTTCTAAAAACAGATTTATTTAATTACGTTAAATTTATTTATTTTTATTTATTTATTAACACTTCGTTGCAAAAAACAATAAATCAAACACAATACAAAAAAAAAAAATTATAAGGGATGCAACGGGCGGCCTTATCGCTAATAAGCGATCTCTTCCAGGCAACCCTAGTTAAAGATAAAAAAAAAAAAAAAAACATGATTCGTGCGAGAAATGCAGTAACAAATGTTATATAAAAAAAAATATATATATACATAGTACCTTAATCTAAAGTAATACAAAAAAAAAATATTAACAACAGACTAAAAACTTAAAAGCTAATCTTACAAATACATGGACAGCAAATAGTGATGTAAAAGGAAACATAAGATTTATACAAGTCACGATTGATCAGGATAGGATAAGGTTAAGTAATGATTATACAGAAGAGTTTTAAAAGATGACAGAGAGGTAGCCAATCGTACGGAGTCGGGCAGCGTATTCCACAACTTAATGGCGGAGATCGTGAATGAATTGCCTAAGAAGGATGAAGTGTGAGATGGAATTTCCAATAAACATCTATTAGAAGAGCGTAACATATAGTTAGAAGGACCTAAGAATTTAAAGTGATTTTTGAGATAAGAAGGGGTTTTCGGATTGAAAAGAATTGAGTATAGGAGTTGAAGAAGATGAGCGTGACGTCTGAATCGAATAGGTAGCCACCCCAGCTGCCTGCGGAATTTAGACACATGGTCATATTTCCTAAGACCAAATATGGACCGTATGCAGAAATTCTGCAGGCGTTCGATCTTGTCAAGTAGCTCTTCGTTCAAATCAGAGGAGCATGAGTCCGCATAATCGAGAATAGGAAGCAGAAGAGACTGCGCTAACATAGTTTTAGTGCGGATAGGAAGGAAATTAGAAAGACGTTTCAGAGTAAAAGAAGCGGCGTAAAGTTTACGGCTGATCTCCTTTACGTGGTGACCCCAGGAAAACGTTTGGTCGAAGAAGACCCCAAGGTTTTTAACAGTCTTATTGAGGGCCAAGGCCACACCGTCAAGGTAAACACCAGGGAGCTGAGCCCATTTGACTCTTGAAATAAAGAAAGGGCTTCCGATGATGATGACTTGACTCTTGGCAGGATTAATTTGAAGACCAAAGTCTTTACTCCAGTTGGCTATGTTTTCAAGATCATCATTCATCGCCTGTATTGCAAGAGGAAGCTCATCCAGTGTAGACTGAACGTAGATTTGGAGGTCATCAGCGTAAAGGTGATAACTAGCGGATAGATGTGCAGTCAGGGTGTTGATAAATATAGAAAAAAGAAGAGGTGAAAGAACGCCACCCTGCGGAACACCAGCACTTATATTATTCCACTGAGAGTAAGCATCATTCATTTTAATACGCTGCCGACGACCCTTAAGATAGCTATGAAACCAGTCAATAGCGGATGGACAGATATTCATAGAGCGAAGCAACCCAAGCAGAATTTCAAAGTTCACAGTATTGAAAGCATTGCTAAAGTCAAGCAGAGTGAGAACAGTGAGCTGCCCACCATCTATCCCTCGGCGAATGTCGTCACAACTTTAACCAATGCCGTAGTCGTGCTATGCCCCGGGCGGAAACCCGATTGGAGAGGGTCAAGAATTGAGTTTTTATTCAGAAATCCGCTAAGCTGCGAGTGTATAAGGCGCTCTAGAGCTTTAGATAGGAATGGTAGAATAGAAATGGGCCGGAAGTCAGAAAAGTTAATGGGATCGGGCCGTTTGGGAATAGGAATAACTAGACTATCCTTCCAAGAAGTAGGGAATTTACCACTAGTAACTGAATAATTAAAAATATGAGTAATAACTTGAAGAATAGCTGGCAAGATAGGTAAGATCATAGCACGACTAACTTCATCACATCCAACAGCATCCGACGAGATAGACTGGATGCAACCTACCAAAATTTACTAAGGTTACACACAATATTCATGTACCTATATAATTATAATCCAAACTAAACCACAGTTAAAGTTTATAAAGCAATATTAAATTACCTTATTTATTATTTAGTTAACAAATTCAAAGTCTTCAAACTATTGAACTTTATTCTATATATATCTAAATTGTCATGTGTCAATTTCAACTTCCACAGTAAGACACATACAGACTAAAATAAATACAATTTCAAACATATATATCGAGACCTTTATGGTATGAAAAAGGTTACAGAAAATGCACTTTTTCTTTTTTTCTTTTTAGAAAATGGAAATAACTAGCCACTTAGGTTGTATAGGATATGGCACATCAAGAAATATAGAAGATCTAAAATAAAAATCAAGCAACGGAAAATTGCGTACCTGGGCCACGTGACCGATGACCGCTGCCGCCTCATTCAATTAATTATGATGGCCAAAAGCCAGCGTAAAACGGTATGTAAAAGAAAATATCATATATAACAAATAAATTAATATTTTTCAAATGTACATCTTCATTTTAAATTAAGGAAAAAGCCAGTATCAAATGTGCTCTTGACTAAAATCGAAGCGAGTTAGTGCGAAATGTCATAAAATATTTGTAAAGTTGTTGCTTCAATAAATTCAAGTTGACAATTTTTATTTTCAAAATGTCGGTTATAAAAGTGTCTGAGACGTGTTTGTCTTGAAAGTGCTGCTTATAAAATATATAAAGAAAGGTCTAACCAATGACTGGCTCCAGTGGCTATGTTCGACTAGGCCCTTCTGATCGTCAATAATAGTTAATTATCCGTTAGGTCTATAACTAATACCTACTTGGCTTTTCATCGCTTAATATTACCTATACAAGAGTATCATTTTAATGGCCTGAAATATAGGACATTCAATTAATGTTCAACTGAAGTATTTCCGAACCAATTCTACTTAGGGTCCTTCAAGAAAAGAGCGTACCAATCCTAAAAGGCCGGCAATGCACATGCGAGCCTTCTGGCAATGTGAGTGTCATGGGCGGCGGTATCACTATTACTTAACATCAGGTGAGCCTCCTGCCCGTTTGCTTCCTATTACATAAAAAACGCTCAACTCCCAATGATAAGTTTTAATGTATTTCTGTGTGTTTATCCTTTGTATTTTCTTAGCCCCATTTATCTTCTTTTACATTCTTTCTTTTTTTATATTTATGTAAAATTTATCTAACATGGTTTAAATAGGTACTCAATACACAGTGAAAAAGGTCCGTTACCTTTTTCATTATCCGTTGAGTGAACTGTCAAAAGTTCCATTATTTGATAGTGCCTATAGTAGTTAGTTTTTTTTTTAATTTTCTTTTATGTTATTTTATTTTTCCTGATTAATTTCTTTTGTTTCGTCTGTAAATTTTATTCACTTATTGTGCACTCTTGTCAATTTAGGGTCGCCTCTTAGGGCAGGAGTGTATTTGTAAATAAATAAATATTTTGGCGCTGTAAACTGGCGTTTTACCATCGCTATTTGATGATGATGGAGCAATAGCGGAGCGAATTTCCCTCTCCAAGGGATAACTAAACTCTGGTGTATATATCCTTTTATTTGTGTGAGCATACTACTGACTTGTGGATTACATGTTTTATTTGTATTTCAACATAGATACAAAGTTAATAATGAAAACTTAAATTAGCCTAAGATGCGTATTAAAATAGCAAAACTAAGAGATACAAAAAAGTTTCGATC